ACACACACACACACACACACACACACACACACACACACACACACACAAGCCTTTCTGAAAATGGCTGCCTGGTCTATCCGGGACTCCTTTCTGTGCTAAGGTTGATAATTCTCCCCGTTTGTGTACTGAGGATATTCACCCTTAGCCAAGGCCAGACTGATGGACCGGCAGAGATTTAATGAGATTCTGCCCTCCATCTCTCTCATCCCTCCCTCCTCCCTCTCCATAGATGTGGGAGTCAAAGAAGCTTGCTAAAGTGGGTCAGCAGAGGCTTGCCTATGGGGTGATGGGAGGAGCAAGGTAAAAGTTGGAGATGTGGCTGTAATTTGGCACCTTTATTGTGTAGCCAGGCTGACCCATCTGTCTTGATGGGCAGGTTCGACTACGGTTGAGGTTATACTTGTGTGAGTTGGGTGTGTTTGTATTCATGCATCTGGTTGGGCACGGTCTTGCCTTTCTATACTACTCAAAGGAAGTGGCTTTCTTCCTTTTGTGTTCTCTTCCTCCCTTATGGCCCAGAGGTATCTAGACAAACAAAAGGCCACTCTCTTAATTTTTAATGGTCTTTAATTTTAACTCTAGGTGTTTGGGGCGTTTGATTCTTTCTGGGAATAATATTCCCCTCTCTACATAAGCATATTCACAGATGGATGGACTTTGCTGCTGCAAATGCGAGGAGAGAGGTGTTTAATTTGAATTTTCTGCAGTTTCTTTCTCTTTCTCCATCCCTCCCCCCCCGCCCTAGTTATAATAATCCCAGGAAGACCCATAGAGAGATTTATGAACTCTACGCCCTTCTCATTCAGTGCAAAGAAATAAAAAAGAGGAGTTTTTGAGTCTTCTTTCCCATCTATTTTGTATTCCTCAGATTTTATTTTCTTCCCATAGTAGCAGAGATCTTGAAGAATGAGTGGAACCCAGACAGTCTGGGTTGTTTTCTGACCAGAACTAGGACAAAAACTGTTTTTAAATCTGTTTTAGGCTTATGTTGGGTTTTGTTTTTGTCTTGAGTTTTGCTAAACCTCTGAAGCAGGGCTCTCCGACCTTGGGAACTTTAAGCCTGGCGGACTTCAACTCCCACAATTCCCCAGCCAACTTTGGAATTCTGGGAGTTGAAG